CGTAAAGGGATTAAAATCCTAATTAGCAATAATTGGTATTCACTAAACTAACATATTAATATGACTAAATAATTTAGTCAAGTGCTCGTTTGAGTTACGCAACCAGCCCTGGTACGACCACTTACTGAGCAATAATTTTTAATTGTGACATTATTATTATAATCTTTAAATATTAATATATCTTTTTAAAGTATTCATAATAAACAAATATTTTCAATAAATTTAAATTAATTAACATCTATTAAATTTGTAAATGCCTCTTATACTTCAACGTATAAATTAATACATTTTTATTGATACTGTAGCAAACTTTCTATTTTAATAATCACTAATCATTAACCATATATCAAGTAAATAAATAAATATACCAAAGACACCAAGGCTAATAAAATAACTTTAAATCTATAGCAAAGTAAAGCGGACATTGATTTTTTGTAAATTAGTAAGATATGACAAAAATAGATAAAAGTGGACATCAATTTTTTGTAATTGTGGTTTTGAATTTTTGAATGCAATTAAGTAAGTATATGTGACGACCAAATGTATAAACTTTCGAAAATTTCACTTAAGACATTTAGCTTTAAGATGTCATATACAAGATAAAGAATATAAAGAAAAATATATTGTGAAATAAAACAATAAATTTTCAAATGAATGCGTTCTACCATGATGAATTACCAAAAAAAAATGCTCTAATAATAAAATATAAATAAAAAGAGTATATGTGCTTAACGATTTAAGTGCATATGATCATTACAAATAGAATAATAAATCCATTTCCTTCTTATTCGATATTGCTTTAAAAAAATATAAATAAAGACTTAAGTGGATATGGCCATTTAATAAATTACAAATAGAATGATAAATTCATTTCTTCTTTGTATTGCTTAATAAATAAAAAATAAAAAATAAAAAATAAAAAATAAATAAAACATAAAATGAGGTTAGCAATAAATTATTTTCTATCTTGATTATCTCTATGTCTTAACATATTGATCATTTGTTCCAATTCAAAATGATGCTGACTAATCTTCATCCTGTGCTCTTTAATCATTGACATATGATAAGAAATTGCTGCAATTAAAGGGTCTTCATTGTTGATTCTAGAATTGAATGAAGAAACATTTAAATTTAAATCGGGATTATTTAAACATTGATGACGATCATTATTAATATCGTTATTAGTTGAAGGTGAAGATGATCTATGCGAGCTGCTTTTAAAATAAATTAATTGGTGGGGTTGTTTCTGCTGCTGTGGTGCTGGTGGTGCTGCTGCTGGTGATAAAGATTGCGCTGGCAGCATGTTGTTATTGTTGTTGACATTAGCCACTTTAATAATTGATAATGAATTATCGAATGCAATAATTTCTTGATCAAGATTTTGAGTTGGTTGAGTTTGTTGTTGAAAAATTTGCTGGGTTGTTGGATTATTAATTTGTTGAAATTGTCGCGCATAAATTTGATTTTCGACGGTTTGAATCTGTTGCTGTTGTTGTACGTGATGTTGAAGTTGTCGGTCATAATCTTGTTGTTGGGGTTGTTGCTGAAGTTGCTGAACGGAATGTCCATCATAATAATGATTTTGATGCTGTTCAAGAATTTGTTGTTGTTGAGACATTTTGAATTGATATGTCGTTACTAGTTATTTTTCGTCTTCAATAATAAGAGATTATTATATTATTAATGCTCTTAATAATATTGTTTATTAAATAATTATTAAACACAGCTAACTTATTATTAATATTAATCCCTTTAAATCCTTATGGGTAGTTTTCCAAATTGTTTATAATATTTCAAAGAGTATGTTTTAAAATATAAGTTTTCAATTAATAATCTATTGTTTGAGCTTGATCACAATTTTAATTATTTATTACGACCTTATAATATTAAATAGTTTTACAAGTATTTTAAAATATAGAGTTAAATGGGTTTTGAAAATGTCAAAGAATTTATTTCTCCCATAAAGAAAGGAAAAATATCGGTTGAGCGTATTTTTTTTTACTCGTATTTATACATTTTCCATAAATTAAATAGAACGGACTCTATCATTGGGGTGTTACAAATTATAATAAACACAAACATAGTTGAGCACACATATAAAAAATCATATGTGCGGATTTTTCGCC